GGAAGTGAGAAATATTAAGGTAGAGATCTTTCCCTAAGAAATGAGACATCACTTCATGCAAATCGGCGTGGCCGACATGCAGGCACACGTTGCGCGTAGTAGCAACTCAAGATACCGGTTATCATTAAGGTTTGAAAATGCCAGCTCCAGCGTTTGTGTTGTGGCATGTGCTATGTTTATTCTTCTCTGTCTGATGAATCAATGGAGAAGAAATGCTGAAAACAGGAGGCGCCTATGGCGTCTTCTCGTTCTGATCGATTTTGTTCGGGTAAGTCGATTCGTTTAAATATTTTGATGCTGTGTTCAACTGAGTTGCTGATGAGTTTATGCTAGTCCAACCATCTGTTGTTTGGGTTGTCTAGGGAGGTTTCAAGTGTTGGAAACCACTTCCACTACCTCAATTCTGTTTTGGGACACCACTAGCCTAAACAGGCCCTCTATCCAATAGAGCACCTTTGGGATGTGGTGGAACGGGAGATTCACATCATGGATGCGCAGCCGACAAATCTGCAGCAGCTGTGTGATGCTATCATGTTGATACGGACCAAAATCTCTGAGGAATGTTTCCATCACCTTGTTAAATCTATGACTCCAAGAATTAAGGCAGTTCTGAAGGCAAAAGGGGTCCCACCTGGTACTAGCAAGGTGTACCTAATAAAGTGGGTGGTAATTGTATAAGAGAGAGAGAGAGAGAGAGAGAGAGAGAGAGAGAGAGAGGTGCTGAAATGGCTGCTTTATGAGAAGTGTAGTGATACTTCCATGGCTCCACTCACTGACTGAGTGCAGCACGTCACATTTGTTCTTTAAATGTATTGAGGTGATTTAAAACTGCATGATGGAACTTTGTGCTTCGGCAGCCTCAAGTGACTGCAAGGTTGACTATTAGAACTAAGTCATACTGAAACAAAAACAAGACCTAATTTGATCTTAATCCCCCGCCGTAACAGATATACATTTAAAAGTAAATTACAAAATAACTTCAAGATGTCTATTTATATGAAAGTCCCATTTTACTTCCTAAAAACAACCTGCCCCAATTTCAGGAAATAACATACAGTAGCACTCAGAGAGAACAAGTTGATCTCAAAATGCTTTGAAAGTTGTGGGGAAAAAAATGTCTGAGGGAGGAGCAGAGCCTGTCTTCCCCTGACGCCGACTCCTCATTTATAACGCTAAAAATAAAAGAACACCACTTTTAGGATCCCGGCCCCTCTCATTCCCTCCGTAACCCTCCACTAGTTGTGCTCGCTGTACGCTTCCTGGACACTCTGAAGGCTTTGACCAGGTGTCTGACCCCCCCAAATATATCTCCTTCAAACATGCTGGACTCTTGGCTAAAAATACCTTCACTTCCTCTTCAAGCCCAAGTTACTACACACACACACACACACACACACGCGCGCGCGATGACAGTATGCGTTATCATAGAATTTAAAAACCTGAAAGTGTGAATTAATCCTGTAAATAAGTACAAACACACACTCTCCTATCAAGAATTTCGATTGCTGGCAGTAAGATCCTCCACTTGACTAGAGGGATGTACTTGTAGCACCACACACACACACACACACACACACACAAGCTAATAAACCAGTTCTACTGAGTACCAAGGAGGGTCAGTGGTAATAATGGCTGGCTGCTCTTGACTCTTTCCCTCTCTCTGTCCTTTCTTTTCCCTCCTCTCTAAATTCAATTCTCTTTTCTATGTGAAGACCTTTCCCCCCTTCTCTTCCTCCCTCCTCTCCTCTATTCTTTCTCCACCAGCCTCCCTCCTCTCTTCACTCTCTTGTCTCTTTCATCTCAATTCTCTTTATAGTCCGTGGAGCTTTATTTCAGCTTAGACCTGTTTTATTTGGTTTCCGTGGCTCCTGACTCGCCGCAGCATTCTCAGGTTAATATATTTCGCAGCATCTCGAACTTCCTCGCATTATTAATCAAACAAAAGAGGCTGAAAAGCAAAAATGAAAATCTTGAAATCACCTGACAGTTCATACATGTGTGTGTCCTTGTCCTTGCTCAAAGGTGCTAACAATCATTTTTAATTTTTGTTTCCATGGGTGAGGAGGTTTCTGTTTTTGCATTTTCTTTCGCTTAGTTTTCCACCCAACTCAAAGAACTTGACTGCATAAAAGAATCAAAGGAGTTTTTAATTTTTTATTTGTCAGTATCTCTGTTATGTTCAGTTGGAACGTTTGCTTTCCACTGACACAACAAAGATAAAAATCATACATTTGTACAGATAAAATGCATGAACCATAAACTGTATATAAAGATGGCCGATGTGTGTATATTTCTTCCAGCAGTACAAAATAAATGAAGCCAAAATATCCTGGATACGGGCACTGCCATCTTGCACTTTTGGAGCCAGAGTCTACGCAACAGCGATCGGGAAGGAATGAGTCCTAAAACCCGAAAATGAGTTAGCAATTTAGCACTCACGGTTCCCTCAACACAAAGTCAGTGGGTTTCATGAGTAGGTTTTTGGTTAGATGCCTGAAATAAGGTCTGTGGTTAACACAAGCTTAAGAGACTTTCAGGTTTTGTTCCACGATATAAAACCCGTCAGTAAATACCCCAGTCGTGAATTTTGAAGCTTAATGTGTTTTAAAAAATGCGGTTGCTAACAAGTGGCTAAATGAGGCTACAGAACTTCATCAAGCTGAACATGGCTTTTTAAGCTTGTTTTGGTGGCGACGTTATGATGGTGCACACTACTGTACAGTAGTTTGTTTATAGCCTAACATTAGCATTATAATTCTGGCGATTGCATTTAGGCTTCATATATCATAGAAGTAGTGTTCATTTGTGGAGATAATCTTGCTGAACAAAACTTGCAAGTATCATACATGTTTGTTTACCACAGAGCTTATTTTGAAAAACTAGTTCATGAAACAGAAACCATCTTTGAGAAAAATTAATTTGACATGCACTTTGATCTTTCAGTTTGGCCAATGTCCCATGTGCTAACATGGAGGGAGCGGGGTTCATGACCTATACAGTAGCCAGCCTCTAGAGAGTAATTGGGCTGTTTTGACTTCACTTTGTGGGGCGCTGTCATGTCGTCAGTCTTACTTACACACTCTATATTCTCCTGAGGCCCTGTGTCCTCATATGAGGACATCACATTTTGGGTTTACTGGACCTTATACTTCATTCTACTTAACTTAGACCTGTTGTCCTCGTTTGTGGACACTTTTTTATGCCATCTAGAGGTAGTAAGGGCACAATACACTAATTCATGTAAAAACAAGATGGCAGCCATCTCTGCCAAGTCAGTCTGCAGCTGATCCCGACACAAAAATGGACAAGGAGCAAAACCTGATCAGATTTTATGGTTGAAACTTGTTTATTCATGATTAATAATGCTTGTAGTTTGATATGGCAACACATTTGTCCAATTTTAGCAACAGTAACAAGCTAAGACACTGTTCATTAGAAAGTACTCATTTGAAGACGTTGGGAATTTATCATCAACTAGTTGAAGGACATTGGGACTTAATTATTGTTGACAGTGTTTCGTTTTTATTCTTATCAGGTCCTACTGATCCCAAACAGCTAGGAGAAATTAAAAATGCATACCAAACAAAGTTCAGGTCTCAGGAGGTTAAATTGTCATTTTTATGAACAGAAAAGGAAAACCTCTGAAAGACATGTATATCAATACATCACATTGACTTTGTATTATTATTATTATTATTAGCTTGGGTAGCATTTAGATATTCCTTGCTTCAGATTTATAACAGTAGTTCAGTTATATGAATATTTTCATGACTAAAACCTGGACAGTCTGCTGCACATAATCTGTTTTCAAACTTACTGCCTGAAGGCATTAAATCTACATTTTTTTAAATCTCTGGTAAAGCTTATTTTTTTTATAAACTTTCATTTGATATCTGTTGATGTTTGGTTTGGCTCCGTTGCCCTGCAGCTCTTTTGTGTGTACATCTATGAGTTAATGTGTGTGTGTGTGTGTGTGTGCGTGTGTGTGTGTGTGTGTGTGATGCGAGTGCGTGTTTAATATGAATTACACAGCAGCCTTCAGCTGAGCAGTCTCACTGGTCAAAGACACACCCGTAACAATACTGATGATTCCCATGGACTCCACTAGATGAGCTTTAGTGATTGTTTATTTTGTGATTGGATATCGGTTGCCAGCCCTTGTGGGATGAGACCTGCTGTAATTACTGATCTTGTATTTGGAGATCAGTGTGTTCTTGTCACACAAGCTGGAGGCTGAGGTAAACAATATTTTCATAATGTTCTTATGCCGAAATCTGAGAGTTGTTTATTCTGTAGTTGTTAGACACAAAAAAGAAGACAAGGTGAGCCACTGCATATTTCCTCGCAGACCTGAAAGCTGAGGAAAGCTGCATTTTCAAGTATTATTTGCGACATGAAAGCAGAGCAAATTTTCTAGAGACATTATTGCACTACCCGCTCTTTCAATAAGACCTGATGTAGTATTATCCCGAACTAAAATTGTATTCTGAGAAGGAGAATAACAGGATGACATCTCGTTGCAACAGCTTGAAAGCACACCAGGTGGGTTGGTGATCAATTGTTGAGGTATTTTAAAGCCCCTATGTGAGGAATCGTCATAATTATAGTGTCTTTCAGATTATACTGATGACATACGTTTTTGTTTGTAGAAAAAAGGAGACACTCGGAGGAAAGTTTGTGCAGTCAGTTTCAACCCAGTCATCCTCAGCGGGGTAGATTAGTGCCTTTTTGATGCCTCGGGCGTCACCAAAGTCAGCAATTTGAAAAATCCCGAAAAAACTCTGCACAGACCTTTATGTGGCATGTTAGCTTTGCTTTCTGTGTTGATGTGCCGACGCAATATATGATGCCAAATAAATACTAGACCCTCTGAAATATCCCAACATATCCTTTTTTTATTAACTGCTGAACTCTTTTCCTGGGCAGCACATCTTGTTTACAGTACTTCCAATATGAAACAGCATCATCACACGTTTCTGTGTCTCTCTGCCGCCTCCTAGGTGTGCCAACGGATATTACGGCCAGCCCAGAGTGCCAGGGGGATCCTGCCAGCCCTGTGATTGCCATAGCAACCTCGACCTATCCATACCTGGCAGCTGTGATCCAATCACAGGCCAGTGTCTGCGCTGTCGCCAAGGTTATGGCGGCGCGTCGTGTGAAATTTGCGCTGATGGTTACTACGGAGATGCCGTCACAGCTAAAAACTGCCAGGGTAAGTACACTGACTAACAACAAGCATACAGAAGGAAAAAAACAAAAACAAAACACATACATGTAAATCTATCAGTAGCGGTGATTCGCTGTTGTCATTGTTTAAAGTTAAGAAAAAAATTAAAAGTTGAACTCATAACTAATAAAGCAAGTAAAGCACAGTGCCACAGTGACAGCTGTTCAGCAAAAGTTACAATCGCTTTAGTGTCCTGAGTGATATTACCGTATTGTATGCTCCAATATACTGATTTCTTACTAAATGAGGTTTTGGTACCACTGTAATAATTTTATTTACAGTTGGATTAGTAAACAATTCAGACGTCAACTTTAAAGCCTCCATTTGTAATACATCTGCTGTACTTAAGAAGGATGTGCACTGTTGACGGAGCTGGTGTGGCGTGTAATGTATGTTTTTAGTGGCTACGCATGCAGCACACATTTGGCGCAGGGTTGTATGAGTCACAGGCAAAACAAGACAGTGAGCTTTTGTTTTGCGATTGTTTCTTCACCTTGTTTAATGTGGGACTGTCAGCAACCACCAGCTAAATGCAGACAGGGTGATCAAGTCTCCTGAGTGGAGGCCCTGTTTGATGCAAGGTAGCCGATATCCAGAATGGCTAACTTACCTGTCAAAGATCATTTTAAATTAACAGACAACAACTTGTTGTTGGTGTTATTAGTAATTTAATTTAAAAAAAGATAGTATCCTGATAACATTTTGGCACCATATTGCACTAGTTCAGTACATGACTCCCTCTATAAAAATCACAATTTGTAGCTTTAACACTTATATTTAGCATGTTTATTGAGCTTTAGAAGTTTTTTATAGCTGGGTTATTTATTCAGTTATACCTACTAGTCCATACCCATTGAGTGCACAGTTGCCCACGTATAGTTTCACATGTTGTGTGTTTAGGATACAGGTCATAGGAAATTGCAGATTAAATAGTCAACTGAACCCATTAATAAGAGCAATGTATTCAGTTTTTGTGAATTTGATAGTATGATTGCTTTATTGAAAGTACAGTAGTACCATTGCCAATAGTGGGATAGTTAGTGGGCTAAAACTGTACATTAGTAGTTGAGGTAGCACGTTGAAAGGCAGATAGTTAAAGTGTTTATATGTTGTATTGACTTAAAAGTGGGGCGCACTGACACAATGACACACTGACAGTTTCCGTGATTATGTACAGCATACCATACCATGACTTAGTCACACCAAAAATTAGGGGGAAAAAAAAATAAAACATTGGGCCACAGGGGGAGCCACAGCGATTGTTCGAATTTTAGCCATTTTTAAGCATTTTTCTGTTGTTATAGCGCCACCCAGTTGCAAATTAGAGTTAAATGTCTCCAGTCACCTTGAGGCGTCCTGTTCTACATATCTACCAAGTTTAGTAAAACAGAGATATGGCGGTTAGGCCTAGATAAGAACTTTAGATATTGGTCCCTAGATTATGTTCACCGAGTTTCATGCAGATCGGTCAAACTTCCTAGGAAGAGATCGATTTTAAGTGTTTTTCAAAAAATTCAAAATGGCAGAAAATCTATATAATAGTGTTGCACGATATACCGGTACTAAAATAGTACCGCGGTACTAGTGTATTCCAAACGGTACTATACTGCATTCGGAAAATACCGGTACTTTGAAACTGATTCAGTTCATTAATTTAGTTAATTTATTTTACTCAATTATGCACACAAACGCCTTTCTTGTTCCTATTGGAGCACAGATTGCGCAAGTGGTGTGTATGACAACACCTGTATCAACATTTGCAGCTGGCGCACGTGAAAAAAGGCAAGAGAAAGTCTGCCTCGCAATGGGAGACAACACGAGACAACACAAACTTGGTGGAACATTTGAGTTACCAAACCGTGACGTCCGTACCGAGGTACTTACCGAACCATGATTTTTTTTGGTACTGTTACACCCCTACTATTTATTGTTCTAAAGGTTTGTATCCAAAAGGACTTTTCCTTAGGAAAAGTACTGAAGAGTATCGAAAAGTATCGAAATTCATATTGGTATTGGTACCGAAACAAAGATTTTGGTATTGTGACAACACTACTATATAACCGAAAGTTATGGGTTCTTGAGGCAGATGTGTTCCTCATGAGGAGAGGCATCTCTGTGCAAAGTTTCATGTCTCTACGACATACGGGGCATGAGATGTGCCCATTCAAAGTTTGCAATTTCAATCGGTTGCTATAGCGCCCCCCTTTGGCCAATTGATGTAATATTGCTTCATTCGCATCCTCCCATGACCCTCGACCACTGTGCCAAATTTCACATGGATTGACCAAGTCAGTCAGGAGAAAAACGTGGAACAGACACACAGACAGAAAGAGTTTTCGTCATTATATAGTAAGATAAGATGGATGAGCCAAGCTCTCCCTGCTTCCTGTCTGTATGCTAACTGTCATTTTTTAGCTAGCAGGCTTCATATTCAACAGATATTTATGCAATCATCTCATGTTCAGTGAACTGAAAATGTCTAGCTATTATTTAGCCTAATTATTCTCCAAAGTATACAGGAAACCTGAAGGTCCTATCGACGATTTGTGACCCATTTCTGTTTAAAAAGGCTGCGTAGAAATATAAATAAAAGACTGGCCTAACTTTATGTTTATACTGCAGATCTCTGTGGTGCATACACACCACTAATGCCCTGCTCTTACACCTGGTGTAGCCAGTTTCATTGTTTATAATGGAAGCATAGTGTTGCAGCAGCCACTCAGTGAACAGTCCGCATCCATTACGTCTTCAATGTAGCCACTGCATAAGATTTGAGTCTGTTTAAAAACAACATATCGACTGAACAAATTGTCTTCAGATTTCCTATGAAGAGTTTGCCATCAAAATGATTTTAAAAATGCTGTTAAAAAAAAAAAAAATTACTAGACATGGGGATGTTAAGAGGAAAAACATCATCTACTTTTCAGAAAAATCATTACAAAAAAGCCAATACTGCAGCTTCAGTGTCTCAGCAGGGGCGTTACACTGAACAGTAGTGCTTCCCCTATGAAACTCAATTTTAACTAAATGATACCTTTAATCCTTTTACTAAAACACTGAGTAGATACACCATCTGGAGTGTGTGGGGTGTGTGTGTGTGTGCGCGCGTGTGACTCTGCATCGGCAAGCAGCTGTGGTAGTAGGAGGTGTGATGTCGGAGCGGCCCACTGACTGCCAGCTGTGTTTAAGAGTGAGAATTAAAAAAAAAAAAAACTATACCTGTAAAAAAAAAAAAAAAAAGAGTGTGGAGAGACTGAACAAGAGAGGAAAGGAGAGATGGCAGCGAATACAGACGTACAGATGGCGTTTGTTTGTGAAGATCTTCATTAAAACCTGCGCTGCTGACGAAAACAGAGGCACTGGCAGCGAGACAGGCAGAGAGACACGTTAACAGATAGACACCTCACTGAGAGACAGACAGGCACTGCCAATAAATAGACATATAAAAGCGTCAGACAGACCCAGAGGCAGGGAGACAGGCTGACGGGGGGTATTAATGTGAATTTGATAGTCCATTGTTCTGTAGTTGTTTCCCCTCTCCACCCAGCTAAATGGTTATTGATTAATCAGCCTGATCTATTGCTCTCCTACAGTGCTGATCGGCTGCTCGTGTCTCGGAGTTGGAGGGTTGTTATCGATCCTGTACGAATGACCACCAGGAATTATTAAAACACAACAACTCTCCCTCTCTCTGCTTCTGTCAGTCTATCCCTCTCCCTCTCCGCCTGCCTCGCTCTGCCTATTGCTCCTGGTCTTAATGAATTTTATTGAGTGGAGCAGGAGAGTTCAGGCCAAGTCCATTTGTGCACTATTAGACTGTAAAAATCCTTTACTTTTTCCTTTGATGTCAGAGTTCCCGTCTGCGGACATTGTTGCCGCAGCCATTTTGTGTCTCCCTCTAATAGTGGTCGGGTGTAATTCAGTCAGAGAATGGAGAGAGGTTTGATTTTGCAAGCAAACTTGACCACAAAGCAATTTGTTTGAGGAATAAATTCAGGAAAAAGATCCCTTCTGACCATTTCTCACATTGGAGAAAGTCATTTGCAAGTTGTTGTGAAGATTTGTGAACTGCACTGTCACACATTTGTCCGATCGCTGGAACAAAGTGGATATGTAGTAATTCAATAATGTAATTATGCTTCCTGTGCGTCTGAGACTTAATGAATGTTTCATAGATACTTCATAGGGTAGATCAATAACCTCTTAGGGGATCGTTGGGAAACCTCACTATTCCAGTTTTATCACTCTTAATGGAGTGTGTGGTACAGTCCTCTGTGCTGAGGCACCGACTCTTTATTGGAATGATAGGCCCCCAAAAAGTAGTAAAGTACAATTAAAAGCCTGGAAAAGCTGAGTGTGAACCAACAATAACTCGTGCCAAAGCCCAAATTGAGGCAGCCTTTAATAAGTCAGTATCAGTTTGTTTAACTGTTATTTACAGGACAAATTACTTGGGGGTGTAACAATACATGTATTCGTATTGAACCGTTTGGTACGAGGCTTTCAGTTTGGTGTGCATTACAAACTGAAGAAAGCACTGAGCCAAAGCACAAGTTGCTGCACAGTGACAGATTCTTGGTAGCAGCTAACTAAGTAGCACACAAAGTCTACGGTTGCACAGCACAAACCCACCGAACCAAGAAGCAACAGCCATTGCATGGCCGTAGCTTCTCGTTCAGCAGCTAACAGCAGCTAACATTATCACAAAGCACACATCCTCAGCAGTGAGCAGTTGCTGCTGGTGGGCTAGGTCGCTTTTCTGCCACAGAGACTAAAAAGTACGTTAGTGATGGCTGTTTAGCTTGTGTTTGTATGACTGTGGCATTTCACAGAGATGTTCATTCACATACTTATTAGACTGAGTGGGTGAAAGAAAATACACTGATACTCGCGCTGTAATGCCAATAGTAACGTAGTATTGAAATAGTATGTAAGGGGTTATGTTAAGGAAGACTCCAGTGTGTCCTTGAGCAGACCTTTAGGCC